TGTGAAGCCGAAAGTTCTTTAACTTTCAACTCATTATTTTGTCAACATGGAAGTAGGAACGACAGACCTCAGCATACAAGAAGGTTGTGTGGATTAGCGGGTATGGTGTGTGAGATCTAAAGAGTCCCTCGGATATAGAGTAGCTAATGTACTTCTGATACTCTTACTTTTACTTTGTTGATCGTCCTTGAGAGCCATATGCAATTAGAACTGAAAATGTATTTAGAATATATTACCTTCTGTTGTGTCCCAACATTACTAATTTTGTGTATTAAAAAAAAAGAAGAAGAAAACAAAAAGACAACTGAGACTGGACCTTTTAGGCATTCTCTCGAGTCTCCCAGCATCCAGAGTCTTTCTTTTTAAGGTTCCTGGTTCCCAGGCATTTTCCCATGTGGAGTAAGTAAACAGAGGCTCACTTTAACCACTGTTCATGGCTGAGTAAGCACATGCTTAGTTTAAAATGCGCTCCTTCCTGATCCTGTCTGCAGAGACTCTGCTCTGGCTTTCTAGCCTGAAGCGTTTTCTGTGGCTTCCTTCCTGCAGATTGCTAACACACTTCCGAAAGAAAAAGGAGCGTTTGGGGAGTTATACCCTTCCGGTGTGTTGTTTTCTTACATTTTGGAGCATATGTTTATTCTGTCACATATTTAGCTACACTACATATTTCGGAACTGTGTTTTACATATAATATTCACTTCATGTATTTTGGATATTTAGTAAGTAGTCCTTTTGAACTTAAGCTTGTTTTGGAAAGTGGTTTCTTCATCAGAATAAAAATGGCAAAGCAGCACATCAATAGGGCATACATGTTAATCTATACCAAAACGTTTTCACTACTGTATCATCCTATCAAAGCCCTGGTAGTTTAACATCAGGGGAAATCATGTGTTTCAAGGCAATGTTACATATAGCAGGTGTGTTTTTGTACTGCATACATGTAGACAAAATGTCTAACATAAAATGAAACAAATTAAGGGAGAAAAAAACTTTCAGAAAGAATAAGGTACTATTGTGCTGAACTCAGAGTTTCAGTTCTTGCTCTCAAGTAATTAATGGCATCAGTCAGGACCTGTTTGCTTCAGTGAGAAAGAGAGGCTCATCTAAATCCGTTGATCTTGTATCTCCTTTAGAGGTACCACAGACTGGTGCTTTGTCTTAATCGCCTCTGAAATGTTTAGAATTGCTCTGTGTAAGGTAAGCTCCATCAGATGCCATTTGGTGGCTGTGTTCCTCTATAACTTGGCAGAATACTGTTTATAGATTTTCTTCTTTTCTGATTTTTTTTAACTAGACTCCAAGGATATTGCTTACTTGAATGATTTTGAGAATTTTTGTGCCCCCCAAATGTGCACTTGTGTGCATATGATAACAATTGATAAATGAGGATGCCATGAATTTGAAGGAGAGCAAGGAGGGGTATACGGGAAAGTTTAGAAAAAGGAAAAGGAAGGGAGAAATTACATAATTATACTGTGATCTCAAAAACAGAAAAGAAAAACTGGCAGTTTTGTAGCAGATAAATTAAGTCATCTGGTTGAATTGACTACAGAAGAGTTGTTTTCAAAGGTACTGTTTGTCCTTCAAGCAATAATTAAAGAAAAACTTGGCTTTAGTAGAGCCATTAAATTGAACACATATCAGCGAATGGATGGCTAAATGCCATCACTTGCTATCTGTTCTGAATCAACATCATTGAGTCGTTTAGCTCGAGGTCAGTGGCTAAGCAAACATCAGTCAGTGTCTTCTGTATACAAAACTAACAAGCACTTGGCTTTACCCAGTATCTACTGGGCACGTTCAGCCTCTCTCTGCTTCTACTCCTGCCAGGATTGGTCTCCTCGGGCCTGCATTTCTCCTGCACCATATTCAAGCAAGCACTAAGCAATGCCATCCTGATCACTCTTTATCAAGGGAGATTGTCCTGTCATCTCTAGATGTCCTTCCTAGATTGTTTCACAAGGATCTGAAAGCTCTGCATTCGAATTAACTATTTTGTTTGCCCCTTGCTCCCTGATATCCTGAAAGCTGGGCAGGCAGAAGCTTTCTGTGCTGTTCATGACTGCGCTTCCAGGGTTTGACATAGGTGAAATGCCTCATAAATATAAGGCTAATTATGGAGCAATTATGGCAACCATTGTATTTCTTTTTAGCCCCCTTATGTATCTTGCCTCAAAATAGATGCTATCCAGGGAGCAGCCTAACAGCTGATTCCAGGGCCTGGCAGTGGATTCTAGGTCCAGGGATGAGATGTTCTTTTGTTACATATTTGTTTTATTATTTGTTACTTATAATTGTCACCACACTTTTCACATTCTTTGAAAGGGGAGCTCACTTTTCACTGGACTTATGAAAAATAAATATATAAGAAATACATTTGCAATAAGGAGGAGTGATTCTTACTACATGAAAAATTATGTTATGACTAAACTTTTCCTTTCCAAGAAAAAAAAATAGTCACTAATTATCTCTAGACTTAAAAAGACACAACATTCAATTAAGTAGAACACAAAGTACTCAGGTCGAAATGAAGGTAGAAATAGCAACATAACCGAACTCAACCGCATGTTTTGTTTACCAGTGAAAGTTTTCTTAGACTTTGATAGAATTGTAACTAGCTAACACTATAAAAGAACAGCGCGAACAAAGTCATGCAGTATTCAGAGATCCTTTACCCCACTAACACAGATTGTAGTTACTTCTGCACATGAAAGGATTCACCAACCATATGTTGGAAGGAGAGAATCAACTCATAAATCTGACCTCCATATTCATGCCTCATCATAGGTGACCATAAATAAATAAATAGATAGGGCAGAGTGTAGGGAATCTTAGGAAAGAAGTGGGAAACAGTATGGTCTGGAGAGGACAGGAACTCCACAAGGAGAGCAACAGAACCAAAAAATCTGAGCAAGGGCTCTTTCCTGAGACTGCTATTCCAATCGAGGACCATGCATGGAGATAACCTAAGACCCCTACGCAGATGTAGCCCGTGGCAGCTCAGTATCCAAGTGGGTTCCATTGTAATAGGAACAGGGACTGTCTCTAGCATTAACTGATTGGCCTGCTCTTTAATTACCCCCCCCTGAGGGGGAAGCAGCATTACCAGGCCACAGAAGAAGACAATGCAGCCACTCCTGATGAGACCTAATTGACTAGGATCAGAAGGAAGGAAAAGAAGTCCTCCCCTATCAGTGGACTTGGGGAGGGGCATGCATGCAGAGGGTGGAGGAAGGGAGGGATTGGGGACAGGAGGAGGGAGGGAACCACAGGGGGGATACAAAGTGAATAAACTGTAATTAATAAGGAATTAAAAAACAAATAAAGCTGCTACAAACATGAAAAAAGGAAATAGATAAACAGATAAATAAATAAATAAATACATAGATAGACAAATAAATAAATAAATAATGAAATAACTGTTGAAAAGATAGGATTCAATACCATGAGCTGGGAGTGTAGCAGAGAGAATTCAATACCATGAGTGGCTGAGTGAGTAGCAGACAGAATATACTGGGTTCTTTTGCCAGCAGTGCAAACAAAGACCCAATATTAATCAAGGCTTAAAAACAGTTTGCACAGAATCCCTGTTTTAGAATCTGTACCCTTGCGATTTTGAATACTAAGAGTGATATCTCGTTCTAGAACAAAAAAAGAAAAACAACAGCAAAAAGTCTAGCCCCAAACCAATGAGCAAACACAAAGGATTTGGTGACAGGGATATCAGTGAAGGAACTAAAGTTTCAGTGTCAACTTTAAGAAATAAAGGCAGTCTCCAAAGTCTGTTACTTTCTTTTCCACAAACAGAAAACAATTTATACAGGGAATAGTCACTGAGTAAGGTAATTTTTTTTTCTTACCTTATGAGACTTGTAGTTAACATCATAAAATTTAGAATTGTATATCTAGATGTAAACAGAATGTTTCCAGGGTTTTTCTTATGCTTTTCTGCCTGTGCTCCATTTTCTTTGTACGTATGTACATATGGCAGAGCGTTTACCTGAAGGAGTGATGTCTGGGCTTTGAAGCAATGATTACTTTGTATCATTAATTGAAAACTGATCATTGTGAGGGTGTAAGAGTAAGACCTGAGCTTGTTGTTAAAATGCTATTCGCTGCTGTTCCTGAAGTACGTTCACAGTGAGGAAGGAACATGGCACAGTTCCCCCCCAACACAGCAAACATTGCAGGAACAACCAATGGAGCTTGCCAATGGGTTAAACCCTGAGTGAGCTAAGAGATGGAGCTGAAGGCCTGAGAAGGCAGGAGGATGCAGGAGATAGGCTAAGGGATGGGAGATGGGCAGTGAGGTGAGTTGGGGAATAAAGGCATTCGGTCCTTTCTGAGATGTGAGGCGATGAAAGTAACAGGTTGCTATTGTTGTTGTTAAACGAGACAGATACAAGAGGACACGTGTCACAGAGAGGAGCTGGTCATGCGTGGGGCAGATTAGACAGCATCTCGTGTTACAGGATATGGTAGCTTATCGCAAACCGAAGTGTAACTGTTAAGCTGTCCCTGGAGACTGGGGACATCTTGTCCTGGAGGAGTTTCTAGCCACGGCTGTACTGTGCTAGGTTAGAGGGATGTTCTGTGATCGGATCCTATAACATGTCGCATGGGTTGACCTGATAGTAGAAACAGCTTGCCTGTCCAGTGGGGCATGGATTGCACACAGGAACCTCTAACGAATGATGTATGTAGAATTAAACATACTTGTTTACATTTCCGACATAGATGACTTAAAAGAAAAGAATGAAGTTCACTCTTAACGCTACTCTTAAAAATTACCATATAAATTAATTTTTATCATCATCACACCCATACATTCATAACATTCCTTGTGCTGCCAAAAAAGTACATGTCAGAAAATTTGAGCTTCAGTATGAAACACTCTACTCGGTCTCTGGACATTGGGCCATGCTTTATTTCTTAACACTTAACATAGTTTGAACACTCTGTGATCAGTTGGTAATTGAGTTATGTTTTCTTCTCTGAAGGCCACAGATCGAGAGGGAGACCCAATCACATACGCCATCGAGAATGGAGACCCTCAGCGGGTTTTTAATCTTTCGGAAACGTAAGTTCCAAGGAAATGATTCAGACTTGATTGCCCCCATTAATGTCAAACAGCACGCTGTTAGCAAGAGGACAGACTTTCCGCTGTTTGTAGTTTCATTTTTTCTTTTTTTTTCTTCTATGAATGTTAATGAGCGCTGGGGGTAATTCTAAACCCAGAACCTTTCCCGGGAGACTGTTTGTTTACCTTAAACAATCGTATCGAGTAAAATCCACCGAGGTGGAAAAAACTTTCGCCTGCAGGCAAAGCCTGAGACTAATTAGGTGCCTACGAAGTTGTCTGTTCGTGGGTGTCTCTACAAAGAGGACAGCATCAATTTGTTCATCTGAAGGGAGGCTTGGCAACCAGGTATGTTACATCACGTCTAAGGCGAGATGAAACCGAAGCACCGCTTTTGGCCTTTCTACTCTCCACGCACCGGAGATGCTCAAGTCGCAGCTGCTGGAGAAGATGTCCGTGTACACACCTCACACGCTTCTACTCTGTACCTTGATGGCAGTGAGGATGGACCTTCAGCAGAGCAGGACTGATGTTCTGCGTCCGTGGCCAGTGTCTTCTCCCACCCTGTCTGTCTCTACAACATGCAGCTCTTTATCACGCGGGCCATGCGTGGGGCTATCGACCTCATGACAAACACGATTTGATACAGACTAGGGTTTTATGAGAAAAAGTCAAGTGCTTTCAGAAAGCCATCGGTAGACAGCTAACAGCTGCTCCAACTTCTCTGGACTTAAAGGATGGATAAGCAATTTCTGCTTATAAGTAAACTCTTACCTATTTGAAAATCCCTCCATAAATACAATAAAAGCATTAATTGGCCACAGCTTGTAATTTCCATTAAAAATAAAGCTACATAAAAGGCTGTTTATTGAAAGCAGAGCAGTCAGTGCTAGGGTAAGAATGTAGGCCAAGGCTGGAATAACGTTATAAATACAGAAAAACCCTAACACTTACCAAACAGGGCCAGAACCGTCTCATCAAGAAGTTTATCCTTTTAACTAGTGAGGTCTAGATGCAGTGAGAAAGAATGAAATCCACTCTTGACACTATTCTTAAAAATTAAATGAAACTGGGTTGTATACCTAAACATAAGAAGTAAAGCTTCGGAGCTCTTGGGAAAAAAGTTTTACTATATGAATAAGGCAGTGTGTTATCCACATATAAAACTCCCAAATTATCTTTTTTTCGGGTCAAGATATTTTTTTTATTTTTTTCTTTATTAATTACAGTTTATTCACTTTGTATCCCCCCTGTGGTTCCCTCCCTCCTCCTGTCCCCAATCCCTCCCTTCCTCCACCCTCTGCATGCATGCCCCTCCCCAAGTCCACTGATAGGGGAGGACTTCTTTTCCTTCCTTCTGATCCTAGTCAATTAGGTCTCATCAGGAGTGGCTGCACTGTCTTCTTCTGTGGCCTGGTAATGCTGCTTCCCCCTTGGGGGAGGTAATCAAAGAGCAGGCCAATCAGTTCATGTCAGAGACAGCCCCTGTTCCTATTACAGTGGAACCCACTTGGATACGAAACTGCCATGGGCTATATCTGTGCAGGGGTCTTAGGTTATTTCCATGCATGGTCCTTGGTTGGAGTATCAGTCTCAGGAAAGAGCCCTGTGCTCAGATTTTTTGGTTCTGTTGCTCTCCTTGTGGAGTTCCTGTCCTCTCCAGATCTTACTGTTTCCCACTTCTTTCATAAGATTCCCTGCACACTGCCCAAAGGTTGGCCATAAGTCTCAGCATCTGCATTGATAGTCTGCAGAGCAGAGCTTTTCAGAGGTCCTCTGTGTCAGGCTCCTGACTTGTTCCCTCTTTTCTCCTTCTTCTGATGTCCATCCTCTTTGCCTTTCTGGATAGGAATTGAGCATTAACAAGAAAGTACATCCACAAATTTAAAGAGAAGTAAGTCTCAAGAGGCACAGCCATTGAAATGAAAGGCCACCTACACACTTCCATAAAATTCTTTAAGTAATTTATATGGTAATAATCATATACCAAAATGCCTAAAAAATTAAAAGGAAAAAGAGAAAGAACCTGATTAAAAACAGGCAAAGATTTGAGGATACGTCCATTCTCTCCCTTTTTTCCCATTCACCCTCCTTCCTGCCCCACTCTGTGTATGTGTGTGTGTGTGTGTGTAAATGGTAGTCAATGAGCACATATGGTTTCTTTCATTCAGTGAATGCAAATTAAAGCTATTAAGATGCAGGAGTTCACATCCAAGTAAAAAGGGTATGAAAAGCAAGCAATGGAGATGCTGGAGCCCTCACAGCTTTCCACGTAGAATGTATGCTTTAGGAAGCTGGGAATTTTCTCCACATGTTCAATATATAATATCTCTCTTCATGTCCATTCGGCAGAACTGAAGTCATATCTGTGTATAAAATTATACATGGACAGTACTGAAATAGCACACATTCCACCCACAAATGAAGAAGCAGAGTTACCTATCTACACAGTGGGTTATTATCCATTGATGAAAAGAGAATGAGTAGCTGAGACATAATTCAGCGCAGACATACCTTAAAAACACATTTCTCAGTGATGTAGGTCAGTAATAAATCCAAAATCATCATATAATTCTATTTCCAGGTTCAGAAGTACACAGAATAGGTATACACATACACACACAGAGAGAGAACAGGAGATGATGAGAGTAAACAGGAGCCTTCTAGCATGGAAACGTGTCTGGCTCCTTTCACCTCTCTGTTTAGCAGACATATCTGCTCCTCTTGGCTTTGTATCTCTCTAGAAAACCACACGCACACATAAACAACAATGTGTTTACTCTGTCATTAGTAAGCACTTAGGTTCTATTCATGCCTTTTGGTCATTGACACTGTGATAAATACACGTGTGCATAAATTTAAGTACATTATTTGGGTTTTGTTTTGTTTTGTCTATATGCCCAGAATTAGAATTGCTGGGGCCTATTGTAATTCTGTGTCTTAATTATTTGAGAAATTACTAAATGCTTTCATCAGGGTCTGAATCATTTTATAGTCCCATCACCAAATTACAAGAGTTTCTGAGCTATTTGACATTCTCACTGGCGATGTGTGAAGATTCTAATTTCCCCATAACATAGCCAACAATTGTTATCAAGTGTTTTTACTATGGCTTTTCTTCTTTGATTATTCAACAGTAGGTGTGAAGTGATAGTTCTGTGTGACCTTTATTTGCATTTCGAGTAAATAATGAGCCCTCTCCCTGGGTGCTTTCTTTGGGAAAACATCTGCTTGGATCCTTCGTTCCTTTTTGACTGGGTTCACTCTTGGTTAGAGGCATGAGTCCCTTAGAGTTCAGAAGACACATGCTTGCTGGGTATAGGACTTCAAAATGTTTTCTTCTCCTCTGTCATCATCTCACTTCATTGATAGCGCTTTTTTGAGACAACGTTTTATGCTTTTGATCAAGTCCAATATAATTTCTGTTCACTTACTTTGTGAATATTGGGTGTCTTATCCAGCAAAGCTGTTGCTGAATCTAAGTCATAAATATTGTCTCTGATGTTGCCAGAGGAGGCTCTTTTGGTTTCATTACCTACAGTCATATAATTAATACATTTGACTTAATTATTGCATAAACTTAAGCAGTATCATTTAAATCTATTGCCAATAGCTTTCAGTTTTCACACAACAGTTGGTTTAAAATAAACGTTCCTGTTGAATGGTTTTGATACCTTTGTTGAAACTTTATTATAGATATAACAATTCATTCTAGAGACTCAGTCTTGTTCACTGGATGTCTCAGTCCTCTTTGTAATGCTCAAATAGCCCTGTAAACTGTGAACTGGGTTTTTATCCTAGGATCTTGAGACTCGGATGTGCTTTGCCTCAGGGGACAGTTTCTTTCTCACCATCAGCCATTTTAAAGAGTGCCCAAAGTTTTTCTTCCTTGGGTGAGTTCTGAGTTCAAGCCAGAAGTGCTGGGTACCATTTACTACAACAGCTGGCAAGCTTTAGACAGGACATCTGCAGTTCCCCATGAAAAGTTACAGCTGTGTCCCTGTCCCTCCACGACAGAGACTGGAGCGTGAGTTCTCTTTATACTCTCAAGACTCTCAATACTCTTGCTAAATCTGTGACCCTTTAATACATCTCCTCATGTTGTGGTGACCCCCAACCATAAAATTATTTTTGTTGTTATTTCATAACTGTAAATTTTGCTACTGTTATGAACAATACAGTAAATATATGACATACAAAATATCAGATATGCAATCCGTGTAAAAAGGTCATTCGAACCCCAAGTGGGGTCACACCAACAGGTTGAGAACCACTACTGAAGACCAAGGTGAGCCGGGGAGATTAGAAAGCAAACAAACAAAAGCACCATAGTGCTCTTCCATCATTGCTGGCTTACCCTTTCTTTGTTGTTCCCTCACTTGGATTCTGTAAATGTTTGACTGTTTGCCAGAGTCCCATTGAACCTGGGTCTTCCTCTGGATGCTTGAAGCTCTGAAGTTCTGTGGGAGAGGACTTGTCTCACCTACTAAGCCATGTTTTCAGTCCTGTGGAACTTACGCAGCACTAACAAATGTGTTTTTTTTAGTCAGAAGCAGTGCTCATTTACCATGTAAAGATTTTTTTTTCACTCTTGATAGGGACAGTGTTCCTAGCCTTGTGGCCTTCACCAGCTGATGAGAATGTCCTTCCAAGCCAGCTTTATCATGAGAGATGCTCTTTTTTTTCCATCGGCCCATCCTTTTGTTCTGAATTCTCAGAGACAGCATCTACCTTCCATTTTCCCTGTCAAATATTCCCCTGAAGTCAACTGTCTCGACCTTGAGTCAAAAGGCATATAACACTTTATCTCCATCATAATCACACAAATAAGAAAAATAGCTATTTACGTAAAAATTGGCCCAAGACAGAAAGTCTATGCACTTCCTAAGTCCATGCCCAAGGAGAGTTACTGAGGAGGAATGAAGGACTATTACAACCTAAAGCACAACAAGACCCAGAAACAATTCATTTTTCTCTCACTGTCCTGTGGCTAAGTTGACAGACTTCCTATTTCTTCAGTTGCTTGTAAGTACGTCTGAAAAGCCAAAACTGCCTGACTTTTCTCTTTGAGTGTTATCACAGGATGAGATTACCTGAGGCGTCTGTGGCATAGACAGTTGATGCAAACCTGATTGTTGTGAATGTGCTCTGGGAGGGGTTTTCAGTTATTTGAACTAAACGGTTTTCAGCCAGTGTTCCTCAATCCTTCTGTATGCTCTGAGAGCCTCTGAAGTCTGCATCATCAACAGAAGCTCAACCAAATGAGTTACCGTGTCCCCGACTCCCATTTGTGCCCTTGACTCTGTTGTTGCTGCCCCTTGTAATGAGTATCATATAAATTCCACTCTCAGAATCAATGCACTTATGTTTTAAACAAAGCCTGTTCATCAGTCAAGGGCAAACTAGTTTTTTCTACTTGATTAATATCTCAGTGTTTTCTTGCATTAAGGTAAATGCTCTCTCACCGTGGGTGGTTGATGAAAACGTCATTTGCAGCGTCCAGTGTAAAACTGAAAAAGACATGTTGAGCTTATTTTGGAGTCCAAATGGTTATATGTATTACATTGGAGAAAAGAACGGACATTTATTCTGGGTAGTGAGGGGTAGAAGTAAATTATTCTAACAATGAGAATTTATTCAACTTATCTTACAGAGATTGAGAACCACTCTAAATAGCCACAAGTGTTTGTAAAATATGATTAAATGAGCAGATGAACACTAATTATTTATTATAAAAAATTTAAAATATACAGTGATTCCTTTTTATGAAAGAGCTATAAATTTAAATATGCTTATGAAAATGAAAAGAAATATATAAAAATTTAGCATACAGTCTACAGATTTAATATAATCTTTGAATTATCTGATTCTGCATAAGTTCTATTGATAATGAAGTGCAAAGGAAAATGAGCTGTGCCCTAGAACTTGTCAGAGGGGAAGAATGTCTTCCACTTCCAGTGTGAGAATTTTGTAATAAATGGGAAAACAAGACATGCTATTTATAAAGAACAATCCCTTGGCTGAGAATTAGGATGTTGCTTGGAAACAAAGGAGCTTTTTGCTTTGAAATGATGACACTCACGGCAGCTATCCTTCTCCTAGGAACGAATTAGGCGTGATGATTCTGTTTTGCTTGATTTTTCCACTAGAATGTGGAGAACTGTCTCTGTGATCCCACTCAGGTTTGCAGCTTTCTGTTATTGCTAAGAATCTCCACGGCTCTAAGGAGCCATTTCCAGTTTCAACACGAGTCCTAGAATCACTTTAAGACTCGGTTTATGATTTTAGAAAGTGGATAAAAACAATCAAAATTAGTTCTTCCCAACAGACCCTCTTCTGCCTTGTGACATATGTAGGAGAAAATATGCAATCTTTTTAAAATTATTTGTGGGAAGGAATGGAAGCCAATGGGAGAGGGGAACAAGTAAAGGTAAGGGCTGAACATGAGGATAGAGAAGAGGCCAAAGTGGGAAATGGGGGTAGAAGGAGGAGGAATGGGGATGGAGATAAGGAAGAGAGGGAAGGGGAGGAGAGAGAGAAATGCAGCTCTGCAGGGACCTTCACATCCAGCTCAGAAAAAGAGCAGCTCACTAAACACTGTTTGTTGTTTGTCTTTCTGCCTCCAGCACTGGGATTCTCACGCTAGGGAAGGCGCTGGACAGGGAGAGCACGGATCGCTACATCCTCATTGTCACAGCCTCGGATGGCAGGCCAGACGGGGTAAGTGTGTTCCCTGGCGCTGTGGCACTAAAGAGACCCGCAGCCCTGACGCTCCGAACCACGTGGTACAGCCATGGCAGCCTTGCCCACCCAGAACAAAGTGCTCCTTTCTCAAATGTACGCAGACTCTGAAACTGTCTGGGTACCTCGGCCTTCGATTTGAGGGACAGACTCTTGTGAGCCACCGTCTTACCAACTGATGATTGCCACTCACAGGGAACCTGAACTCGTGTTTTTCTCTACCAGGCGCTGCGCTGTATCAGCCACAAGCTGTGTTCTGAAGCTTCCTGGGTTGAAAATCTGCCACTGAGCGTCACTCTTGGAGTGTGGCAGGAGTGTGGCAGGCTTTGTGCATAAATATACTTAAGTGCCCGGGAAACTAGGTCAAGTGAGGCCATAGGTTTGCATGTGGATCACTCGGGGTGTGGCCAAACCTTAATGAACTCCAATTTAAGCTGCCCAGTTCAATAGTAACATATCCGGTTTCCGTGAAAGGACGTCTTTGCTCTATATGGCACCTAGTCTGGATATAAGGGAGAGCGTTCCTAACATTTATGTACAGGTGACTGCTGAGAAAATTTACCAAGGTGAAAATATATCCAATTAATACTTACTATGATAATTTCATAAAAATGAGAAAAACAGAAATAATTGTTCATAAGAAAACCTCCCCATAAAAACTGTTTGGATTTTTAAAGATTCTGATAACGTACTGTGCAGAAAATAAAACTCACGGTTCAAAGGATATGAGGCAAATGCAGGGGTGGGGGAAAACACAGCCTAAGCAATATTGGCATTACACAGAGAACATGTCTGATTTGTAGCATGCCAGCATTACATGAGGGTGCCAGAGTCAGAGTTTCTAAGAAGAGCCTGGAATGACTAAGGGTTAAAGATCACCCAGTCTCATGACCAGCCAGTAGCTGAAGGTGAGTCCTAAGGAAAAGGAGTAATAATTATTTAAATAATTATTCAAAGGGTATAACTAGAGTGAAGCGACCTTCGAGTATAGGACGTTCAGATACAGGGAAAGGCTAAGGATACACATAGTTTCAGGGTAAGTCACAATATCCATTGGAAATTAACAACAGTAGATTTTTTTTTTTTCTGGGTCTGTGCTAACTCAGTATGTTTTTCATTCTACCCCCTCAGCCACAATGTTCACTATTTTGTTTTATTTTTACGGCTGAATATTATCCATAGTGTATGTGCACCTCATTTGTGTTATCTGTTCATCATTTGAAGGACTTTTAGGTTGTTCCCATCCATTTCCTAGCTATTGTGGTTGGGCAGCGATGAATATGGCTGCTTAAGTATCTTTGAAATAGGATGTTGAGTCCTTTGGACATGTGCCAAGGAGTGGCATAGCTGAGTTGTATGGCCGATTTATTTTTGGCTTTTTGAGAATTCTCCACACAGATACTCATGGGGACTGCAGTAGCTTGCAATCCCACCAGCAACGAATGGTGGCTTCTTGTTGTTCACGTCCTAACCAGTATTTGCTGTCAGCTGCGTTCTTCATCTTGGCCATTCTGATTGGGGTTAGATGAAATCTCAAAGTGGTCTTAATTTGTATTTCCCTAATTGCTAAGAACGTTGAATAATTTTTTTACGGTATTTCTTAGCCATTTTAATTTCTTTCTTGAGAGCGCTCTATTCAACAGAGCTATAGCGCATTATAAAAGAATTTTACATTTTTAATTTTGTTATTATTTTTATGTATATGGGTGTTTTATCTGCATGAATGTATGTGCCTCTAGAGGTCAGAATGGAGTACTGGATCTTTTAGGACTGGACCTACACTTGTGAACCACCACGGAGGTGCCACACTGGGAGTCAACCTGGGTTCTCTGTAACAGAAACAAGGGCACGTAAACACTGAGCCAAACCTCCAGTTCTCATTTCCTGAGAGCCCATTTTACACTGTGTAACATGTAATCTTGATTCTTTGTGTGGATGATTGCACACTGCCTCCGAGACCATGAATTCTACGCAAAACCACAGATGCTACATCAGTACCTACTTAAGAGCAATTGCAGTCAAAGAAAATACGTGTATAAAACCGCCCCTATAGAAACACCTATCGGCATTAGTTGAGAACAGAGTATCTATTTTTAGCAATCACTTTTCATTGAAAATAAAATAAAAAAGATAAAATGGGTATCAGCCATGGGTTATTAATGTGTGCTTAGTGCTAAAATATGAGAATTCTTAACTAGTGGGATTGTAAGAGATGCCACTTTTGAGTAAATAATAGGCAGATTCCTCAGTAAGAATAGTTACCTCATTTATTAGGTTGCTTGGTTTGATATCTGTCTACCTGTCACATTATAAATTGTCTTAAAGAATTCTGAAAAGGGTCCTCTTATTATACCTTTATTAGCGTGGACTGTTTTAAATTTTTAAATCTTTTGAAACCTAGGATCTGTCCTCAGCGTGAAACATGAGCCACGTTGAGCTGCAGTATGACCGTCTTCCCCACTAACCTAAAAAACTAAAACCGCCATGCCCTGAAGCCAGACAGCCTATGACTATGTCCACACAGTCAAACAGGGAGTACAGCCAGAATCACGTGCAGTACTGAAACCCAGACAACTTTGACCGAAAAGTTTGCCCTCCTCTCTTGAGAAATGTTTAAGCTAGAAATTACCCAGGGATGGGGATTTCAGGCCACCTCCTGCAAACTCAGAACGCGGTGGGAGAGCATGCCCAAGCTCCCATCCGCGTGCCCCTCCACATAGTGTTGGGTCGGTTCCCCTGTGCGTCAAACCAGCTGCGGGTCACAGTCTTTGACAGCGGGTCTAAGATAGTCTGCAAGGCCTCCTGCTCCGTGGGATAAAGAAGAATCTAAAAATAAATGGAGTGATGAAAATAGATGGATAGGAAATACAAAGGTGGACATAAAAGGTGCCTGGGGAGCTTGAAGAAAAGCCAGAGACACGAGCACAACTTCTCTGAGGCCTTCGCTTCAAGCTGTCAAATTTAATACCTTGTTCACCCCCAGGCAAATTTGGAAATGCAGCTGCTATGAAACATATTTAAAAAAAATAAAATACTGGTTTCACCTCTACCATAACTTGAAAAGAAATAACATTTGTTAAACTATTTTTTGTTTCTGTTTTAAAAGCAACGTAGCTTTCTTGGAGAACGTTTGAGAAGTACATAAAAGCTGCAAGGGAGAAATAAAACACATGCGTTCCATCTAGTCAGAAAACATTTTAATTTCTTCCTATAAATTCACAGCCTATGTACACACACGTGTATTCATTTGCGGGCGTCTTCTAAACTTAACGATTTTCCGGGAAACAGATGCAGAGACGAGCACAAACCCCACAACTGGACGCTTGATGTGTTTCCTCAGGGAGAGAGCGTCTGTAAGCATAGCCCACGGCAGGAAACAAACCACCCAGCACTTGGAAATCTAACCCTTCCGTAGTCTAGGGCTTCCTCCAGCCCTCCTCCTTGCCAGCCTATGACATTCCGGTCAGCGTGTAGAGCTCTCACCTACGTCACTGAAATCCTGTACCTGCATGTGGTTGCACCTGATTTCTGTCACTCGACCCTGTGTTCCTCAATTGTACCACAGTATTTCTCACAGGCATCGGGTCACCTGTCCTCGGATCCTCTACTCGTCTATCACATGGATTAAACACCGTATAAATATCTGCTAAGAACAGACACTGGGTAGTTTCGAGATCTGGGCTTCAGAATGCTGTTGTGACCATCTTCATATCTTTTTAGGTTTTGTTTCTTTATTTATTATTATTATTATTTACAATTTTTCACTTTGGATCCGAGTTGTAGTCCCCATCCCTCATCTACTCCTCATCCCACCCTCCTTCCCTCTTCCTCCCCTATCCTTCTTCCCTAGTCCACTGATAGGGGAAGTCCTCCTCCCCTACTGTATGACCCTAGCCTATCAAGTCTTATCAGGACTGCCTGCATCTTCTTCTTCTATGGCCTGGCAATGGTTTCCCCTACACTAGGGAGAAGTGATCAAAGAGCAGGCAATAGAGTCCATGTCAGAGTCAGCCTCTGCTCCCCATATTAGGGAACCCACATGGAGACTGAGCTGTCTATGGGCTACGTCTGAGCAAGGAGGTCTAAGTACTCTCTATATATGGTCTTTGGTTGATGTATCAGTCTCTGCAGTACCCCATGTGCCCTGCTTTTTTTGAATTTTTATTTTTATTTTTATTTTTTTGGCTTTTCTGGTCTCCTTGTGTGGCTCCTGTCCCCTCCAGGATCTTTTATATCCCCCTTCTTCCATAACATTCCCTGCACTCTGTCCAAAGCTTGTGAGTCTCTGCATCTGCTTCAATCCCCTGCTGGTTGGAGTCTTTCAGAGGACATCTGTGGTAGGCTCCAGTCCTGTTTCCTCTCTTCTACTACTTCCGGTGTCTATCCTGCTTTCCCTTCTGAATGTGAATTGAGCATCTTTCCTGGGGTCATCCTTGTTGCTTGGCTTTTTTAGTTCTGTAGATTTTAGTATGTTTATTCTATCTAGCGTGGCTAGTACCCACTGATAAGTGAGTGCATGCCATGTATGTCTCTCTGCTTCTGGGACACCTCCCTCAGGATGGTCCTCCATCTTCATATCACTAAGTCAAAGTTTAATTGAACATTAAACACATATAAATCATGTGCATGTAGCTTTAAATTATGAAGAGTAAGCCATCTGGACACACGAATAAACAAGCCACCCAAGGCCAGCACCTCTCTGTGGTCCATGGTGAGCTTTGGTGACAGCTGTATACGTTATAGAACAGACATGGAGGTTTAGGATATAGTTATATGGAAGATTGCTCTTGATTTTCTTCAGCAGAGGCAGTATGAAATAGAAGTGTTGGAAGGCGGGTTGAATCTGAGTGAAGGCAACATCACTCCTCCATTGTTTTCAGCAGAAATCACAGTCTTTTACCAGGCCACTCCACTGTGGCTGCTTGGAAACCCTACTCTGCCTTCTTACACTTCTTGACATCCACACAGCCTCTGTAGACTCAGTGAGCACAATTCATGCTCCGTATCAAGCTTCATTGCAAATGACCTACAGGTTAGTAATTTTTTAAATATTTATTTATATAAAGAACATATTTTTATATAAATGCATTATCTTGTGTTCAGGGTCAATGTGTTTATATTTTCTTTTGGCTTTTTGGTTTGGTTTTTCAAGACAGGGTTTCTCTGTGTAGCCTTGGCTGTTTGGGAACTCACTTTGTAGACCAGGCTGGCCTCAAACTCACAGGGATCAGCCTGCCTCTGCCTCCCGAGTGCTGGGATTACAGGTGTGCACCACAGTGCCTGGCTGTGTTTATATTTTCTTGAGCAAATTTTATACCAAACTCTTATGGGATTTTTCATTCTCTCTTTTCTCCTATTTCTCAATGACCTGTAATTCAGCATTTTAATATCATATCATATTGTATGTGTTACCTTGTAAGTGAAGGTTCTTTCCTTCAGTGTTTGCTCCTTGCCACCCATAACCTACCTCACACCAAGAGAGAAGGAGAAAGAGGCCATGCTTGCATGGAGGCTCCAGCTCAATTCACACATGAAGACAAACTTATTGACCCGAGACCTCAACCTCTGTAACATTTTTTGTTTCAGTAGGCCAAGATTTCCTGTAAGAAAGCAGCATCCACAAAAATAGGTGACTTAGCTGACACTGATGTCATTGCCTGGGGTCTCATAACCCAACAATTTCATGACTGCCAATGACTTCATGGGGCTCATATCCTTGATTTAGATATAAACATTGAAACTGACTAGGGTGATGTGTTCTGACAGTACTAGCCTGCCTGAAAAGACTTATTTTATATACCAGGCTGTTTCATAGTATATATGCTTACGTTTAGACAGTGAAATACACAAGCAATGAAAACTACGGGACAGTATAGTTTACGGATAAAAGGGTGTGTGCATGTATAAACAAATGCTCACCACCCATGACCGTGAACAAGATAAAGACGGCACAATCTGGAAGGTAAGCCTCTAGGGAATACTTGACATTCTCAAGAAGATGTGTGCCCTTTGGTATCATCACTGGCTTTCTTCATTTTTTTTTTTTTTGAGGTGTCTGAGGCTTTCAAGCTGAGTCTTTTATATTCTGTTTCCTTTGGAAAGCTAAGGACTGCGATGCCCTTCAGATAGAGAAAAACCAGCGTGGATACTTAAGCAAATTCAAAACACAGCAGCTCCCCACCCCCACCTGATCTTCTTCTCTCTTCCTTTAAGACTTCAACGGCCACTGTGAACGTGGTGGTGACAGATGTCAACGACAATGCTCCTGTGTTCGATCCCTACCTGCCCAGGAATCTCTCTGTGCTGGAGGAAGAGGCCAACGCCTTTGTGGGTCAAGTGAGGGTAAGTGGGGCAATCGTTTAGCTTAAATGTTGTCTGGGGGGGGGGGAGCAGATTTCTTACACTGTGACTTTGAAAAGAGACACAACTCAAGTAATCTATTAAATGACTCATTGGCCACTCTCCATGACCATTTTATAGTCATATCCTGTACATTTGATTATTTGTTATGTTTGATGACATTTGTGTACTTTAAACATTGGCTAATGTTAGAGCTTTCATTTTTTATTTATCCCATATGATTTTATTTTCAAAAAAAAAGAAAGAAAGAAAGAAAGAAAGAAAGAAAGAAAGAAAGAAAGAAAGAAAGAAAGAAAGAAAGAAATATATTTAGAGAACTGTGTATTTCAGTGACTCGTTAGGTTTGACTGTGGATCTTCCCAACTGAAAATATAGAATGGTAGATGTGAATTTGTTTGCTGTTACAAACCTGTTTTTAGACTCTATTTCCTGCTGTATATTCCTGCATGCTCTAGGATTAATTTCTAGTGTGTTCTCTCGCCTCTTGTGTGGGCATGATGGCCATTTGCTGCAGTATTTATCTTCTGGGCCGGGGAGGATGCCAGAGCTTCATGCCATTAGTGGAATGCTCATCCACTAGGCCATAGCCTCAGCCCTGAGGTTGCTTTTGAAACCATCTCATTTCCCTTGAGGTATAGCCAGGCTTCCACTCTTGTGCTGTGCTGAGTCTCCAGCACAGCTCATGGTTTGGAAGCCACAGGACAAGAGATATCTAGAGGCAGACCGTGTCTTCGGAAGCTCCTTCTGCAGATGAGGCATGGAGGTGTCCTCCTGGGCATCCCTAAGACTAACCCATGGGAGACTTCTGAGGCAAGGAACATTCTAAACAAGAGGTTCTGATTAAGTTTAGTTTCCACCTGGCGTGAGCATCAGGTGAGAACAAACATGACACGGTCACACAGCTGAGCCGCCTGCCCATGTCTGGACCCAGGAACAGGAAGATGTCCCTTCTAGGGGCTGGAGAGATGGCTCAGTGGATAAGAGCACTGGCTGCTCTTCCAAATGTCCTGAGTTCAACACCCAGCAACCACAACCTCAACAGCCATCCATACTGGAATCTGATGCCCTGTTCTGGCATGCAGGTGTACATGCAGATAGAACACTCATACAAAAAAATAGATAAATAAAATCTTTAAAAACAAGAAGGAGAAAGAAATCTCTTCTAGAAAAATGTTCCAAGAACCTCCTGCAAAGTTTCTCTTTTCAAAGGATCTGCCATCTTCCAGTAGTGCTAGCTTAGAGACAAAGACAATCCTTCAATATAAGAACTGTGAGAAGACACTTATCCAGGACTCAGCACCCAACAAGGAATGAGACCCCCAACCAAGGTGTCAGGTCCTGTTCCATCTCTCTGTGCACATTTTTCAAAGGAGCCTGGATGATTCTCTGAATAAGCATTTTTTAGACTTCTGCTACGTTTCAACCAAGCATGGAGTCTAGTGATTAGCAGAATCTACTGACTGTGGAAGAGGTTTTCTAAAACTTCTGTTTTAGACTTTAGTGAGATTTTCACATCTGGTCCTGAGATTCCCCGTCCCCCTCATTAGTGTGTGTGAGTGTGTGTGTGTGTGTGTGTGTGTGTGTGTGTGTGTGTGTGTTATGTGCATGTATGTAGGCACACACACACACATGTAGAGGCCTGGGGTTGGAGTTTGATGTCGGCAAACACCCTGGATTGCAGTTCTGCTTTATTTAGTGTGGCGGGGTCACTGAATCAAACCCAGAGATGGCTGGTCTGTCCTGAGGATCCCCTGTCTCCATCTCCGAGGTTGGAATTATGAGTGGATCATCACACCCACCTGACATTGATACGCATTGATACAGATTCTGAGGATCTCAACTCTGAGCCTCAAACATCCATAGCAAGTCCTTAAATACTGAGCCATGTTGGCAGCCCTAGTCCTGAGAGTTTGATTGGCTAGTAGGAACCTGTTCTTTCTTCTTTCATACCATCGACAGTGCCCTCACTGCCAGCTCCACGGTCTTTACCATTTTCTGTCACTGTCTCCAATCCAGGAGAGAATATACTTTGACTTCAACTCCAACTCACCTCCAGGGAGAACCTGGTATCAGAGACGTTGCATTGGCAACTAGAGAGCAGATGTGAAGCCATACATGAGGGCTCCACTGCCTCACACCATCTCCAGAGTTAAATCCCACATGTGTATTCCACAAGGAAATCACAGGTTACAAGGTTTAGATGGAAATAGTTTCCTAAGGGTCTAGGCAGATGGCTCAGTGAGTAAGGACACTCATTGCATAAACACGTGGCCCTGATTCTGAATCACCAGCAACCACAGAAAGAGCCAGATGTGGCCACATTGCATGTGGATACCAACTGTGTGGGGAGAAGAGCAGAAAGACCACGGGGCCTCAGTGACTGCCAGCCCTGCTCCAGGTTCTGTGAAAGACACAGTCTTGGGGATGGGGGCTAAGGGAGAGAATGATGGTACAGGACATTCATTGTCCTTGCCTGCCTTCTGTAGTGCCCACAGGTGCACACCCACCCACACATACATGCACACCTACACATAAACATACACACACATCACACACACAAAGTGCATTAATATAGTACTAACAGGAGATAAGGACAAATGTAGGAAGAACGTACCCAAAAGAGGGACGGTCATTAGATCAGCCACCACTTAGAAAACAGGTGCCGGGTATCAGGGTGCCTTTGAAAAACAGTCCAGATACTTCCCCCAGAACGACACCCTAAAGAAGTCATTGCTTCTGGGAAACTCATAGGCTCAATCCTGAGTCATGGCTACCGGCACTGAAGGTAGAGCATCACTGACAGAGTGTAACAGACGCTGGGACAGGGGGCGTAGGACTGTGATGTGTTCTACAAGCCACCAAGAAAGGTGACAGAAGTTTACACCAGAGGCTGCTGTAGAAACATCATGTTTTCTCTACAGTCTTTCTCTCCTCTCGCCCCTGCTCTCCCCAGGTCTGTTCTCCACTCTCTTAACTCTCTGCACTCCCTCTCCTACCTTGTTCTCTCTCTTCGGCCACTACCTCTGCCTAGTCTATCTCCCCTTCCGAGTGAGATATTTGCATCCTCTATGTTACTTATCTTCCTTGGGTCTGCACCTCATAGTATGCTTAGCCTATACTGTATGGCTAAAAGCCACTTATCTGTGAGGACATACTATGTCTGTCTTTTCTGGGTCTGGGTTACCTCACTCGGGATGATCTTCTCTAGTCCCATCCGTTTGCCTACAAGTTTCATGATTTCCTTGTTTTTCATAGCTGAGTAGTATTTCGTTGGGTAAATGTATCACAATTTCTGTATCCATTCCTCAGTTGAGGGACATCTGGGTTGTTTCCAGATTCTGGCTATTACGAATAAAGCTGCTACGAACATGGTTGAACAAGTGTCCTTGTTTGGTGGAGCATCTTTTGGGTATATGCCCAGGAGTGGTATAGCTGGGTCTTGAGGCAAAACTATTTCCAATTTTCCAAGTTGTTTCCAGAGTCTGGCTATTGTGAATAAAGCTGCTATGAACATAGTTGAGCAAGTGTTCTTGTATGGTAGAGAATCTTTTGACTGTAGAGAAAAGAGAAACCTAGGGTGGGGGTATCTCTGTGACAAGCTGGAGACCTAAGTCAGGGTAGGCTCCTGGTAGGATATGAGGGAGACTCAAGAGGAGACTCCTAGTAGCAGAGGCCATAGAGACTGAAGAGGACACCTTCTAACTAGACTAGACTCCTAGCAGAGACGAGGAACACCAACCCAATCACAAAAACTTTACTCCAAAATGTATCCTGCCTGCAGGACATGCAGGGACAAAGATAGAGCAGATGGAGCAGAGATTGAGGGAATGCCCAACCAATGACCCACCCTATCGGAGAGCACCAACCCCTGACACCATGAAGGCTACTCTGCTAAGCTTGCAGACAGGAGCCTGACATAGTTATCCCTTGAGAGGCTCTACCCACCAGTTCCTCAAAACAGATGCCAAACCTCACAGCTAAACATTGGGCGATGGGTAGGGCATCTTGTGGAAAAGTGAGAGAGGGGAGAAAATGACCTGGAGGTGACAGGAGCCCCATAAGAAAAACAGCAGAACCAACTACCTAGGTCCCAGAGGGCCTTGCTGAGACTGAAGCATTAATCAAGGACCATGCATGAACTGGACCTCGGTCCCCTACAAAGATGTAGCAGATGGGCAGCTTAGGCTTCACGTGGATCTTCTACTAATAGAAGTGGAGACTGCATTGGACATGGACTCACTTGCCAGCTTTTTGATCACTTTTCCCTGACAGGACTGCCTTGCCAGGCCACAGGGGAAGAGGACACGCTCAGTTCTGATGCAACTTGATGAGCTGGGCTGAATGGAAAAGGGAGCTCCCCATTTCTGAGAAAAAGGGGAGGGAAGAGTGAGGGGGAGGGAAGGAGGATGGGACTAAAAGGGGAGGAGGGATGGGACTACAACAAGGATGTAAAGTGAAGAAAAAGAAACAAAGAAAAAAAACAAAGAAACAAAGAAAGACAAGAAACCAAGAAAAAACAAAGAAACAAAAAAAGACAAGAAACAAAAAACAAAGAAACAATGAAACAAACAAAGAAACAGAGAAACAAAGAAAAGAAGCATCATGTTGAAGCTGGAGGCAAACAGCAGATAGGCACTGAGGGGACACAGGGGGTTTGGGAATCCCCTCCAGAACAGGCATTGCATAATTAAAAGCAGGAACAGGAAATGGGAGCATGACAGACCATACTTATAATAAGCAAAACCTCCCATGGCACTAAGATTTTTCCACACCATGTTTATTACAAAAGATTCTGAGGACTCAAAATGCATCTAGGAGGTGGCAATATCAGATGTGTAGGTGACGAAGATCAGTTGCTGTCATGGGAGACTCGGTACTCGGGGAAAAATAAACAGTGATAAGAACTCAGGCAGGAGGCTAAGGCCATCACTGACACAGTCTCATCCCTACTGAGAAACACCATATTGTTTAAAACGAATTAT